AAAATACTTCTAAATTCATAGGCCATATTTATGGTTAACCTGGGGCTAGGCGGGTACCCCATCTTGCCCCCAATGTACACTTTCCATATTGACTACAAACACAGGTAAACTTCATTTTAAAACTAAACAATTACAGTCTTAAAGGTTACTTCGAATACCATAATATCTTCATCTAAAAGGTAATGTGAAAGTTCACAATGATACTTACTTTGTAGGCATAAAATTAGATGAAGTATTGTTTAAACATGAAAAAGGTATTTTACCTCCAAACAAAGAGAGCATTTTGGACGTTTTTTGGCTCCATGATCCCTTTCGAGGTAGATATTTAGTTCCCCAAATAACAGCTAAATAAAAGAACATTAACCACAAATAAACAGACGTCCCCGTCTTACCCCTTGATCCCATCTTGCACCACCTTCTCCTATACGGTTGTGTATATAGGAGGATTCAAAAGTAGGTATACGGTTGTGAATCTGATAAATACAGATGTTTTGTGTTCACTATTATTATTAGTTTTATCCTATATCATTTCGTATTCCTTACTTATGATTTAACTTATGCATAAAAATAAATGTTTTTCTTTTATGTTATTTTTCTGCATGTTTTTGCCATAACAACTGTATAAATATATTATTGTAACTCTCCGTATAAAAATACATTATACCGAATCCGGAAATGTCGCAATTTCGTGAAATAGGCAAAAATAATGTGAAATTGACACGTCAATACATGTAACAGAAATATGGACTCGCATGCAGAAGGTAAACGGACCAAATGGCCTGCTTGCTCCCAAAATTTAGTCTTCTGTAAGAAATATATATGGATATTATTAAAATAAGTAACTGTCTCAGGCACTATCACACCTCTTTAGTACATATTTATAAAAGGCTTGAGATAGGTCAGATGATAAATATGTATTTTCGAACCACGTCTTACATAATAGTGTCTACATAAATTTTCGTCTGATAAATTCTATAAAAACAATAGAAGTAATTCAATAATGGTAATTTAAGCGCATCATTCCTTGATAGTATGAATTAGATGAATATTTTAAAAAATGCCTTGAAATCTTGAAATTTTTTTGGCTAATTTANTGCAGAAGGTAATGACCTGCTTGCCTGCTTGCTCCCAAAATTTAGTCTTCTGTAAGAAATATATATGAATATTATTAAAATAAGTAACTGTCTCAGGCACTATCACACCTCTTTAGTACATATTTATAAAAGGCTTGAGATAGGTCAGATGATAAATATGTATTTTCGAACCACGTCTTACATATAATATTTAAAAGCCATTTAAAATCGATTCTGAATAGTTATTTATCATTGACATGCTTCATTTTAAGATACTTTATGACGAATGACGAAGCTCAATTGTTTCAAATCGGTGTTAACTGTCTTTTAAAATATACTTTAGTTAACTGACATTTGAGCCACCCTACACGTGCATATAAATAATTTTTCAATTAAAATATTCCGAAAATGTATCAGCCATAAACTTATATTTTATCGTTTTATTTTATAGCGTTAACCTATTTCTTTTTTCTTTTACTGTTTCATAAATTTTTATTATAATCTTACTATTGACACAATGTTCTAATTTCCTATTAAAAAGTATTGCTATGCACCAATTTTATTTAAAAAAAAAAAAATAGAATATTTACATTAATATCTCGGTACGTGTATCATTTTATAATACAATAAAATACTTTCTTATATATTTACGAGTTTTATTCGATTCCATGGATACGAAAGAATTTTGTAATTGTAAGAAATAATTAGAAAGTGAGCTGAAAATATGCGAAAATTTATAATAAAAAAGGAGTTCTTGCTTGATTTTTCCAAAATCTGATCATTTTAAAATATACCAGGATATAAAATTTAAATAATAATAAATGTTTAAAAAGAGTAATTTCGTTGAATTATGATTTAAAAAACTTAATTTAAAAGTATTTAAGCTTAAAAAAACACTATGACAGTAGCAAAAGGTTATAATTGTGTGTGGCTCATCTGCTATGAGATGTTATTAAAAAAATAACTTTTATATTATTAATCATTATAGAAAAGCAATAAAGACTTAATTTTGAGGGTAGAGATGAGTTTTTAAAAATATTGTAAATGCCAATAACGAGTAAAATTTTCATCAAGTTTGATCACAATCGAGATATGACACATGACCTCACTCACTTTAACTACCAAAATTTAATATAATTGATGTTCCATATATACAAGTTATCGTGCCAAATTTCGCCTATTACACACACATTTAATTTTTTAGGCTCTGGAGCCTCAAGACGTCAACATTTTTAAAAACTCTGAAGGGAGGCTCAAATTTGACACTATTACAACACTTTCTCGTGTTACTTTATAATACTCGGAAAAGTTAAACGGAAAAATATAGAAAAAAACTGTAAAAATATCATAAAAATTGTGATGTTTTTATAATTCAAGAAGAAAATATCGAGTAAACACGTAGTAAATTATGTAAAATATGTGAATATGTGCAGAAAAAGATGAAATATCCATTTTTGGTTTGATAATTTGGATAGTCTTTTATGATAAATTTTCATGGATTTGATTTAATAATTAATATAAATTTGGAAAAAAAATAAATAAAAATTCGAGTTTTTTTTTCATCTTGAAGCAAACGAAAACAGATAAGCATGATGATGATGCTGAAGATTAATTTATAAAAGATCAAATGCCACGTTATTTTAAAGTTATTGGCATCGTTATTTCTGGATAAATATCAGTTTCAATTGAAACTTGAAGTGAAATATCAATAAGATAACAGTTGAAAGTCAAGTTGAAGTATCTCTAAAACAACAATCTCTGATCTTTCGAAAATGTTTTTAGCTGGTGATCATCTCATGATATTCTGGTAAACAGTAGTGCTTATGGTTGGTATTCCCCTTAGAGATGACGATCGATTGGTTGAAGAACATCTCTTTAAAAACGTATAACGTAGAATTTGTTAACAATTTATGAAGTACATTTTGTCTGTAAATAAATGTAATGAAATAAATCGAGTAAAATAAATAAAAATACTCGAAATATCACAAAAAACAAGATGTTATAGTTGATGTCTAAAAGTACTAACCTGAAATGTTTATCAATATTTTGTTTATTTGATATTTCAATAATGTAATATATATGGTGTTATAATAAATAAAAAGATACTCTGATCTTTATAAACTTACATAATTATTTGTAAATTTATAAAGTTATCAGATGTGGTTTAATCTAGCTTTAGGTTACATAAGAAGAGAAATTTAATAATTACATAAGAAAAAAGATTCAAATAGTTAGATGAACACTTGTCAAAACATATGAAGAAAAAAACAGATATAGAAGATGAAAGGGGATGTTTACTACACCGCAATAAAGATTCGTTAGAGTTTATCTTATTATTTCATAGATATTATTTAAGTTTCCATACGAATTCCTTCTGTTTTTAAGTATGAACTTGTTCTATTTATTCATTTGTCGACTTATTAAAAATTATTTGTTTGATAGTTGCAACAACCACTTTATACTTAACTTAAGATGTTTAAAATCATCCAAATCATTTAAATAAAATTGAAAGATTGTGAAAGAAACTAAAGAGGGTGGAAAAAGATAAAACGAGGTTAAGAAAGTTTTAAGCAGGAGTTATTAAAGGCGAATAAGTAAAAAAAAAATGGAGGAAACAGATGAAAGAAGTGTTATTTCTTCGGCGTATTTGATCTTCTCGGAAATAAAATGGAAGCAGTTGCGCCTGGCTATAAATGTAGAAAAAAAAGGTCGTCTCGCCTTTCATTGTAACTATTAAAAAAACAGTGTCATCACTCTTTGTGATCACTCGTTTCTAAGAATGGCAGAACAAGATGATACTCTTTTTCTCTTTTTTCTAACTTTACAGGTCTGTAAAAATGAGGATATCATCTATCCTGTGTCAAAAGAGGCGACTTCATTCGTAAAAAACAATTTTCTATAATATTTATTATAGGTCTATAAATTAAAAAGAATAGAAATTAATTTAAACAACTTTTAAGCCGAATTAAACATTCAAGTTTATAAATAAACGGTAAATAATATTAAATTTTTTATTAAAATGNATATGGGGCCTTTTCCGAATGCTATAAAAATATAAAATCAATAAAACAAATAACCGATTTATCTCCCTCTTATCTAAACTTAAATTTATGTTACTTTAGCTCATTTTTTTTTTTACTTTCGTGGTTCTGTTATATATAACAGAGGGAAAGTATGGCGATCGGTCAAAAAATGAACATTTTTGGACTTTGAAACATCGATAAATGCAAAAAATTAGAGGGTTCCCCCCTGTATGTATGGATGTTAGTGTGTGTGAGGGGAGAACAATTTTGTTCATCCACTTGAAACTTAATAATTCCTGTGCTTTTTGATGAAAATTTCTGAAATTCTGCATTTAGGTTTGTGTATTAGTTACATTGCGGCTATTAAATTTCGGTGGTTAAAGATCGACGTGATGGGCAAATAAAGGAGGTCGTGTGTCATATCTGGAGTAGAATCGGATTTAATGACGATTTTACTCGTTATTTGCATTTACAATTATTTATAAAAACACATCTCTTCCCTCAAAATTAAGCTTTTTTATCGTTTTATAATAATTAAAAACATAAAAAGTTTTCTTTGAATAAAATATCATAACAGATGGAACCATCAAATGTTGCCGGGAAAGTTAAGCAACTAGTAACTGGATTTTTATATGTAAGACTAAAAGTTTTTTAGTATATAATCCTCACCACACAAATTTTTTTATAATAATGCATATTATGCATTATTATAAAGAATGCAATAATCATTTTTGTATGCAAGTTTAAACTGTTTCNCATTTTAAAAAGTATATTCGAGAGGATAAAATAATATTTTTAATGATAAATTTCCTGTTATAATAGGAAGAAGTTTATGAATAAAGGCTATTAAAAATATCGATAATTTGAGAAATTATGTGATTTACCTTACTCCTCCTTTCCACAGGGAAATTGTGGACCGCTCCGGAATTATTGCGCATGCCTACTATACCACCGGAAGGTAGTCAGAAGGGAGACGTCTATTCGTTTTCTATTATTGTGCACGAAATTATAGTGAGACAAGGACCTTACTACTTGGGTTCTGTAGAAATAAGTCCAAAAGGTATTATATCTTGCAAACGATCATGCGGTTTTAATTCCTTAATATTAGTTAGACTTTAACAATGGCTGTTGCACGATCCCCTTGTTTACTGGATTGCTCTTATTGTCGTTTATTAACCTCTTCCGTAAACAATTCCGAGCAACAGAGTAAGTATTTTCTTTTTTTCTTTTACTATTTTCTTACCGTTTCAATGATAATTTTACTATAATTTATCTACATTTTTTTAGCAAATTTTAACTCGAATAATGTAGTTTTAATCATCGAATTTTCTACTCTTTACGTATTAATTTAATATATTTTTTAAAACATTTATTTATTTATATTAATGTAAATAATATTGATTATATTTTTATGTATTTAAGATAGATATTATAGAATTATTTTCTGATAAATCCTTCATTTAAAAATATATTTCTTCGCTTATATAAATTGTGGGATATTATAATGGAAGTTTATTACTTCTGAGCTTTCATTTATGCCTGGAACAGTTTTATGTAACATTCCTGAAACCAATATTAGAAAATCTTCGTGTACATAAAGAATTTTATACATGAAGATAAGAAACAGCGAAGAAGGGTGATAAAATTGCTACCAAATCTTGTTCGTTTAGTACAGGAAAGAAGAATTGTTTCCATTAAATAAAAAATAAATAATAAATAATGCTGCAGAATAAATTATCGTGTTGGAAACTAATTTTTAAAATATTTTTCTCTGTATTTAAAATTGATTTTAGTTCGTTATAAGAAAATTATTCTTATCAAATTACAATTATTATTTAACGAAATTGAATAAGATTAGTAATCTTTGTTTATTTATATTAATAAAAATGAAGATTGTGAATTAAATAAAGTATTATTTATATGACATAATATATATATTAATGATAAAGAATATTTTTTAAAAAAATCTCTCCAAAGTTATTGCGTTATTAATCTTCAAGAGGCAACTGAAAAATGGCGAGTCAATTTATCATTAATGAATTCTTCCAAGTTGTTTTTTTCAATTTAAACATTTTTTTTTTAAAAATAAATGTTTTATAAATTTGCTTCACCTTCATACAAATAATAAATAATTACACTAAATTGATGAAAAAGTTTTTAAAATGTTTATAGAGATATTAAAATTCAAAAATGGTTGTCGACTTTTTTTTAAAAAAAAGGAAGAATGTTTACCTACAATGATTAATAGTTTAGAGAAAGTTTTAGATCGAAAAATATTATATTAAATCTTCAAATTCTGGAAGGGAGATTATGATTACATGATTTGATCGCTGCAAAATGAAATTTAATTTAACAGTCTTGATTCGTTGTTAGCATTTTTTCATAAATATTTTCTGACAATCTTAAAAGCTCGTTTATTTTAGGTACTAATTTTTCTATGGTGTGTATTCTGTAATTAATTTTTTTTTTTTTTACACAAGAGACTATTACTCCACCATACTACTGTATGTTATTTAAACTTCCCCTGTATGTTCGCTTATCCTGTAGACAAGAAGTCGTAAGGAAAAGTGGCATTTACAGGGGGAATGATTGCCAGACTAGATAAGATGTATAAAAATAAAAATAAATGTTTTAGAAATCAAATTTATAAGAATAAATTTAATTTATTAGTAATTACGATTGTTTCAATTTATTTTGCAATTAAAAAAGGATTAACAGTAATGAAATATTGTTAATCCATGTTTAAAAAGAGAGAAATGTCGACACGATGAACGAAATATTTGTGTTGTAGATAGGTGTTTTGCTATTGTGATATTTGATCAACTTTTCACAAAGGAACGAAGTTTGTAAGATCAAAATCAGTCAAGTGATACCTGGTGATCGATTTGAAATATCGATAATGTATTTCAATTGCTTTTGACAGTTCAATTTTTATTCGTTTCTTCTTTCGTAGTCAGAAATACATATTTGTTAAATTTATCACGATAAAAGTTTTTTATATTACTTCTTTAAAACTGTATTATTATTAAATTAAAGTAAACATTTTATAGATCGTTTTAAACAAATTAATCTTTTTACGTTAACTTTAACTCTGTGTAGGTTAACAGTTTTTCCTTTAACCTTTAAAAATTTTTATGACGTTCGTTTTAAATATTAATGATATTTACTAGAATATAATGAGAATTATCAAAATTAATTTTAAATAGGTGTTTTTTTTTGTATATTTTTATTTACGAAACGTTTTTATAATGTAAAGATTCTTATAAATTAAATAATCAGAAATTATTTTTTAATGTAAAAAATCAAAGTTGTTATTATTATTAATGTGATTATTTTTTATATTTTAATATAAAAACTGAAATGAATTATGCTATACATTAATATTAATGTGTCAGGCATTTATATTACATGAAGCATCCATTGTTCTATTCTTTTACTCTAGGTTCATATTTTATTTGGCATTGATCATGTGATCCAGGTAGATAAATGTAACTTATTTTCAAGACGATTTATTGCTGCTATATTAAAAAATAAATTCAATTCATACAATATAATTTATTTTATCAAAAAATAAAAATAATTCGAATTGTTTTTGCAGGTTTTTTTTGAGACCATAAATCTTAGAACGAGTGGTAAAAATTAATTATTTTTCTTAATGAATAAATAGAAATAATTTTCAATAAAATTTTATTTTATAATTTTCTTTTATCTCGTGTATTATTACATTGATTTTCCTCGTATTCCGTGAAAATCTATTTACTTTGAACATAAAAATAGGAAGGGGAAAAATTATCTTTTTTGTAATACAAAGGTAAATCAATAGATCATGAGAGGATCCATTAAAGAATTAAACACTAGTGAGGTTAACCAACTAAAGGATAAGTAAGGTTAAACGTAAATATCCGCATTGTTCTCCTCTAGTTTTAGAAACAAATTCCATGAATGTGGTAATTATGGAAAGCTTCTTCCTTTAGGCGGATTATAGATCAACCGCATTGACTAAAATATGTTATAAATGTTTAATTCTTACATTAATAATTATTATTAAAGTTTTGATTTAACTATAATTCTATTTTTAGTTTTATTATTAAGACAAATATTATTAGTATATTATCAATATTATATTAATTAATCATTTAACATCGTTCTGGAAGAAATCTCTACACTTTATTTCAACACAAACTATTCACCTATAGCAAATTAAATGATTAGTAGTTATAGAATAAATTTCTGATAGAATAATAATAATAATATTTTGTATTAAAAATTCACGAAATTTTTCCATTCTTTTTAATCAATGTTAAAATTAGCTAAAAAAATAAGCCATTTTATTCATTAGCAACTAAAATATTTATAGTTTCAAAGGCAGAACTTGGTGTTGTCGTTGGTATTATTGATCTTTAAGTAGAATCAATGAATATAAACCATATTTGGGTGTGTCGTTAAACGTTTATTAGAAGGCTAAATCTTATGAAGACAGGATAACTTTTATATTACTGCTTTCAACCGATGCATTCGTCAGCAAATCGTTCGCGAAACATCGCTATTCTGATCGATACGTACTGAAATTTGTCTTATTTCCGGATATTTTAAATTATCGAATCACCAAAAATAATGTGTGATTAATTTAATACTAAATTCACTAAGTTTCTGATAGTTTAAAAGCGTGTTACATTGTTAAAATGTTTTATAATTTCATATATTATCTCCAAATTAATAAGTTAAAATACGCTTTAAAAAATATCAACATTTTATATAATTTTAATGTGAAATTATAGTTTAAAAATCCTTGATAATTGAATTTTTTTATAAATCCTTAAAATCCTTAGTATTATTTAAAGCATACTTTTCTAAGGATACTTTTAAANCATTTTAAAAAGTATATTCGAGAGGATAAAATAATATTTTTAATGATAAATTTCCTGTTATAATAGGAAGAAGTTTATGAATAAAGGCTATTAAAAATATCGATAATTTGAGAAATTATGTGATTTACCTTACTCCTCCTTTCCACAGGGAAATTGTGGACCGCTCCGGAATTATTGCGCATGCCTACTATACCACCGGAAGGTAGTCAGAAGGGAGACGTCTATTCGTTTTCTATTATTGTGCACGAAATTATAGTGAGACAAGGACCTTACTACTTGGGTTCTGTAGAAATAAGTCCAAAAGGTATTATATCTTGCAAACGATCATGCGGTTTTAATTCCTTAATATTAGTTAGACTTTAACAATGGCTGTTGCACGATCCCCTTGTTTACTGGATTGCTCTTATTGTCGTTTATTAACCTCTTCCGTAAACAATTCCGAGCAACAGAGTAAGTATTTTCTTTTTTTCTTTTACTATTTTCTTACCGTTTCAATGATAATTTTACTATAATTTATCTACATTTTTTTAGCAAATTTTAACTCGAATAATGTAGTTTTAATCATCGAATTTTCTACTCTTTACGTATTAATTTAATATATTTTTTAAAACATTTATTTATTTATATTAATGTAAATAATATTGATTATATTTTTATGTATTTAAGATAGATATTATAGAATTATTTTCTGATAAATCCTTCATTTAAAAATATATTTCTTCGCTTATATAAATTGTGGGATATTATAATGGAAGTTTATTACTTCTGAGCTTTCATTTATGCCTGGAACAGTTTTATGTAACATTCCTGAAACCAATATTAGAAAATCTTCGTGTACATAAAGAATTTTATACATGAAGATAAGAAACAGCGAAGAAGGGTGATAAAATTGCTACCAAATCTTGTTCGTTTAGTACAGGAAAGAAGAATTGTTTCCATTAAATAAAAAATAAATAATAAATAATGCTGCAGAATAAATTATCGTGTTGGAAACTAATTTTTAAAATATTTTTCTCTGTATTTAAAATTGATTTTAGTTCGTTATAAGAAAATTATTCTTATCAAATTACAATTATTATTTAACGAAATTGAATAAGATTAGTAATCTTTGTTTATTTATATTAATAAAAATGAAGATTGTGAATTAAATAAAGTATTATTTATATGACATAATATATATATTAATGATAAA